AAAAAAAAAAAGATTCTCCATGGCTGCATTTATTATGCATCCGTGACTCTCAAAACACCCGATTATCCAATTAAGACTATTTTTATTAAATAAAAGCAATCTTGCAAAGAGGTAACAAAAAAAACAACAACTATGGGTACAATAAAGAAAGATAGTTGTATTTAACAGTTCACTAACATACACATGACTCACATACACGTACAATTCAATCTGAATAAAGATCTAGTAAATGCAACATCACAGCAAGTTAAAGCTTGCTTGTGCTTTTTGTTACCTGCTAAAAGAATGACATAGCGCTCCAACCTATGATGCTAACTACTGTACATTATACACAGACTAACTAATGCACATTAGACCCACCAATCACCACGCTGCTTTGGATCTCATCCAATCAATAGGTGATTCAAAATAAATGAGAGAGAGAGAGAGGGAAAAAACATACATAATTTCCATCTGAAATATTGATCTGTGCTGTGGGGGCAAAGCTCCAATTAAAAGATTGGAGCTACTACATTAGCTTGTAGGTGAGAAGTATTAAAGAAAAGTATTAAAGTATTAAAGAAAGTATACAGTAGTTGCTAAGATCAATGGGGAGGGGGGTTTAATGGAAAGCTAAACATTAATGTAAACATTATGGAAGCTAACACCCATATGTAACACTGTGACATACAGGATTTGAAAATGTTTTAAGATTTATTTGGGTGAAATGAAGCTGTCTTGTCCTCCTTATAGGCTCTCTTTTTTTAAAAAATGCCTCCTTAAAATCATGAAAATATACATTTTGCGAGCTTACTCAAATGCAAAAAGTCAAGAGAGGACAATTTATACCTCAGTCCAACAAGCTGTTGGTCAGAGTTCTCGTATATTGGTGCCAACTATAAACAAAGCGGCCCAGAATAGGCTCTCATCCATATTGGCAAGATTGCTGTCATTAGATGTGTGTGGTGAAAAGAAGCTTCCTCAGTCTCAACACATGGAGCAGAGCAGGAATCCTGGCCAGAACAGTTGGACTGTGGGGGCCTTTGCCTTTTTCTTTATTTTAGGTCCCAGCACAAGATCTGGAACAGAGCTTAAATGTCCAGACTAGCGGATGAAGGCGACGGGCAAAAAGGTGCCAGAGGAATAAACACAATCAATAGGGCTCAGTCTCCCGAGGTTTGTTTGTTAATATCCTGGATTCTGACAAGGGTATCTCCTGCTCCTGAGTGTTATCAGCTGCCCTGCTCACTCTGCAATCGCCAAACGTGCTTTCAAACAAGCAGTGTAGCCAATGACAAGCACAAGTAGGAATTGTGTGCGTGTGTGTGTGTTCGAGACAAGAAGGCAAAGACAGTGGGCAAATGAGACAGCTCATCTATCATGCCTTTCCACTTTTCCCAAGCCAAAGTGAGCACACAAGTGAGAAAAATAAAGATGTACAAAGTGGCAAACTTGCTCCTATGTAATACCATGTTATGGCAGCTGTGTACAAATATAAAGTTATGGAAGCCCTCTTAACAGTGTGGGACACTGAGCTGGGGTAATCATGTTTTAGTGAAGATATATCATTCTGGAGAGGTGATAGGACCCAGGGGCAGAGCCATAAAGTCAGAAGTTATTTACCGTACTACCCCTGTAGTACGGTAAATAACCCCGGCTGGATTCCAGTAAGAGTAAAGCACTCATGAAGATATTTCATAAAGGAAACATACTGGGATTTAGGCTGATGATCCACAGTGTACGAGCAAGCTCCAGAGCTGAGTTGGTTTTTGTAACCATAGCCAAGTTTTCTACACTGCATGTCACTCTCGGCGCCTCCTGCTCTGCACTGCTTAGCTGTTAACCATTCTTGTCTATGGCACACACGAAAGATTGAAACAGTGCTCACGCCTGCACACAGATAAACCTACACCACCAACTGTGTACTGACTTTATATAATGTAAAAGATACTGTTTGTTCTCATTTTTAAGAAACAAATATAAAAAAAACCACCAAGATGGGACCAATTTGGACTGACCTCTACAGATTGTATGTGCGCAAGTAAACTTGATATGAACGAGTAAATCTTTGTGTATGTCTTTCAAGCATTTTCCGCTAAAGCTTTAAGCCCTCTTAACCGAACACTACTGTAACCACTTAATAAATTAATGTACCTGCAAATCTATACGTGTTGAACTAGATCACTACATCCATGACAGTTTGGTAATGTGAAATGTTATCATCTAAAAACCATAAAGTTAAATATCTGAATGACTGTACGGAAGCAGCGAAGCTTTTATTTCTTGTCGTTTGCGTTACTGTCCAATAATGAAAGGAGCACGGTGTATTTCCTCATGTTGTGATGTAATTGTGTGTTATCTCTAACCTTTGAACCTTATGGACAAAACTTCTCATGTTAGGCTCTGTTTTCAATCATAAATACATTTTTATCATCCAAGGAGAATCTTCATAGTATTTTTGTACGTAGGAATTCTTTAATTAGCTTGTAACTAATCACCACTTCAGATACCTCTATACATCAGGCGTCTCAAACTCGCAGCCCGGGTGCCGCTTGCAGTTTGACAATGTCAGTCACTGCTATACACAGAGCAGTAATCTTTGGCTTTGGTGGAAAATGTATTAAAATGGGTCAAATGGCTTTGAATTTAGTGAGTTGCTGCGAAAATTCTTCAACTATTACAATTAGTTGGTGTTTACCTCAAAAGTAAGAGAGAGGGAAAAAGCATGCATTCTATTTTGATGAAGTCTTATAGAATTAGTGGGTGCCGCTTGCAGCCCACGTCACCCCTACTCGTATATTGAAGAGACGAAATATAACGCAATTTGGCCCTTGAAGTTACTTTTTTGTTAGGGAGGATTTGTTGTTGTTGACTGTAATGGTAAAATAAGTTCCTTAAAAAGCCAAAAATGAGTTAATATGAAGGCGATATGAGCAGAGAGCAACAACATGTTGAGGTACTGGCTGTGTTAGTTCAGTGAGAGACTTATTTGTAAAGGAGACAATTTTCACTAGCACTCAAAAACTAATGTCTGCATTTATTTTGTTAAATACGAACAAAATTATAGCAGAAGTGCTGCCACGTGTCTGGCAAGAACGAGAGGAGCAATTTGTTTATTTGGTAGGTTAATGAAAGGGTTCGGTTAATTAAGAGCAAGAAAAAAAATGTGTTCATGTTTGCAGTTTTGTCTTGTTATACAATAGTGGAAATTTAAAAAAGCAAGCATTTTTGGAAATATTTGTGGATGTTTTCTTGTTTGTTTGTCTTTGTACTAAAGTGGCCCTCACATGAGATGACAGTGCCAGCAGTGGCCCACAGCTCATTTAAGTTTGAGACCCCTGCTCTAAATGTTTGATTCAGGACAGATTTTAACACCAGATGCTTTTTCTGATACAACCCCAAAGATGCACCCAGATCAGTGGGTTAAAGACCGCTGGCTCAAATGTTCTCTTTTTTACACTGTACCTTAATAAAAAAAAAAGAAAGAAAAAAAGAAAAGTAACCATCACAATACAAGAGGTTCACCATAACCTCAAATGTTATGGTCCCACCATAACCCTGGGACATCAGTAAGGATGCTCTTTGTTGATTTCAGCTCGGCCTTCAATACTATCATCCCAGACATTCTTATAGACAAGCTGGTAAACTTGGACTTCCCCCCCTCCACATGTGCATGGATCAAAAACTTCCTCACAGACCGTTCACAATCAGTCAAGGTTGGCAAC